GATAGATCTTCCACCAATCTTGACCCCACATTTCTCCTCGTAGAGCCCAGCCTCCCGGATAATCTGTTCTGCATATAGGTTGAAAAGGTATGGAGATAGAACGTATCCCTGGCGTATGCCCTTCCCAATTTTGAACCATGCAGTGTTCCCTTGCTCTGTTATGATGACTGCCTCCTGGTCCAAGTATAGGTTTTGCATTAGCAGGATCACCTTTGCTTGGGAAACATTACAACTGAACTTCAGAGACATTGGTCCCAACATAAGGAACTATGAGAAGCTGATGTGTTTGGAATCACAGAACCCAAGGAAGCTTCATATATAAGCTATTAAATCAAGGGCTGGTCAATGGGAGATAGATGTGAAGGGAGTGGGTAGAAGTGGATGGGTATCCTGTTGGATGGTGGAGCAGGGAAATAAGTGGGTAAAGACACGTGTGCCAAAGGCAGGGACAACACTGACACTAATGGTTAACTCCACAATAAGGGATATACCTTTAACTTGCTGTTCTGTCTGTAAATTGTCTAAATCTGAACATTCACATTAAGACAGACTAGGAAGAAGGATTGGCCATTCACTTCTGAAATAGGAGGCCTCTGAAAACCCTATGTACAAAATGTATTGAATATACCATGGACTAATAGGAGAACAAACAGTTCTGTTCTGGAGACTGGGGTTATGTAGGTGGGTGTGTCACAGACAATAAGTTTGGCTCAGGATAAAACAGGGTTCAGAACTGTTGTCCACAGGGTCCCTATAAGTTGCAAATGACTTAACGGCACATAACAACAACAAGTAAGTAAAAAAATAAGTACTAAAGTAAGTTAATTTATCATTTTTGAGCCGGAAGCCTCTTGTTTAAATTAATTTGGACTTGGTGAGCTGGCCTTTGTAATTAAAAGCTGATTGGGCCTGAGCCTGGTGTGAAGACTGATTTGCTGTATTTATATTTATGTATTATATACAGGTCAGCTTGTTATGTTTGGGGAGAAGATTGCTCTAACTGGTGCAGCACTTGTCTGTCA